TGGGTTTGAGACTGACGCCCCCTACCCGATCCCCATGGGGCGGTGAAGGTCGGCAGCGGCACCAGGCACAGCAGCAGATGTGGCCACCACTTCCTTCCACCACCAGAGATATCGAGGAGGCCCAAGACCCAGCAAAATGGGTGCAGCTTAGTTGCAAAAAGAAAACCCTGAGGCAGAGCTCAGGGGCCCCTCTTTCAGTGTGGTCCTCTGCCATGTCGTCCCCTCTCCGGGAGTGCCCCACGAGCCCAGCCAGCAAAGCTGCCCTCCTCCTCACAAAGTCCCCAGCCGCTTGCCGGGGAGCAGGGGCAGGCAGGGAGCCCGCCACCCCGTGAGGGAGAGGAGGGAGCCCTGCCACTGCTTCTGCAATGGGGGCAACGCGCCCAGCTTCGTGTGTGCACCTGTCCCCACCGGTAACCTCCTCAGCAAGAGCACCACCACCACCACTACCACCACCACCATGTGTGCCACGAGGGTCCTTTCCAGCTGTAAAATTTCCCCGGAGACACCAGGGGCAGCAACAGTTTTCGAATCTGTCGCGACACCCGGGATTTCAGCAGCCCCGTGGCAGCCCCACACCCTCTCGTGGGCTGCCTGTCAGCACCCCGGCCCGCAGCAAGGACACCGGCTCGCCTCAGTTCAACACTTTCTCTGAGAAGTGTCCCAGCTTCCCCTCCTCCTGCACGGGCTGCGAGGCTTGGCTGTGGCCAGACAGACCCCTCTCCTGGGCCAGGGGTCCAGTGGTCCACCGCGGCCCCCCGCTCCCCACCGCCGGGCAGGTGCCCTGCAGCTCGGCACACTTCTCCTTGTAGTGCTGGGCATTGCCGGCAAAAGTCTCGCAGCGGCTGAGGTTTTCCTCCTGCACGGGGCTGCCCACGTTCTCCTCGCTCGGCCCTGAGGCCGTTGTCCCCTCCTGGGAGTTTTGGCTAAGGTAGACAACAATGATGTCGCCCTTGAAATTCATAACTTGTCCACTTGAGATAAAGGTGGAGTTACTGTTTCCAGTCACATTTCCTGGGGAAGGAGGGGGGAGAAAAGAAGACACACATGATTAATATTTTCCCCTCACGAGATGGACGCATAGCGCAGTGAACTTAATCTGCTGTGGTGGCTTTACTCTTGTTCCATTATTTTTTCCCCATGACATGAGGATGCTCCTATAATCAATGCCTTCCACTGGACCTTTTAATTATTTCCATTTTTGCCTCCTCAGGACGAAGCCTGTCATCCACAGGGAGCCTGTCTGGAAGGCTCGGAAACATTTTCTCTCTCAATCATGCTCTGGGAAGCAAGAAAGAGCGTGACCGTCTCATGCTCCCCAAGCTGCCCAATGCACAAGCTACATCCAAACTGCCTTCTGCCTGCAGTTTGTGAGGAGATGGTTACTACTTCCAATGATGAGATTTTTTTTTTTTTTTTAAGAGTCCCAGGAATCACATTGCATTTTTTTTCACCTTTGGTAAACAGTCAACCCTACCATGTGGGCTAGGTGGCAGGCTTACTGAATAAACACAGAAAGATGAAATAAATCCTTCACATCAGACCATACAGTCACACAGTGTCCAAAAGACACAGAGTTGATATGTTTATCTTATATTGTCCTGATCCTCCATGTAGGTACACTCCGGTACTCACCTAGTGCCCTCGTGGATTTACCTGGATATACGCTGACTCCAGTGAAGAGAAAGAGTCTATATTATAGCAACCTAACGGAGTTACGGTTTCAGTCAGTCTGCCTGCGATTAGAGTTTTTTCAGCATAAATTCAGTCTTCCTGCCATTCAAGGACTGGGTCGCTGACTCAAGTGACAGCAGGATGAAGCTCTGGGAATCAATAAACTTCCCTCAGAGCAGAAAGAAAATAACTGAAAGCAAGCTTTCAACACAAACTAACAAACTTGTTAAAGTTTGAAAATTGAACAAACCAAAGCAACCAAGTAAAAACAAACAAAAAAATATAAATCTTCCT